CACAATAAAGAAAACCTAACTACAATAATATAACACTAAATAATAGTTTCAGTTCTTAAGAAAGCAAAATATTAGTTCCGAACTCGTCAATTATTGTTTTGCCACCACTTCGGGCCCCACACTGCCGGTTGATGTGATGCCAGTTTGTTGTGTTCCTCCCAGTTTCAAACACTTGCTGCAAGTCACAGTGTCAGAATCATTTTGTGTGAAATACAGCAACACTGTCGACCATTTAGCTGTAGGCATCAACTACTGTTTAAGGTAGCTACTGGCTAACTGTAGGCTAACAAACATATTTGCCACATTATCTTTAGATAGCAAACTTGTGTTTTCCGCTTGTTGTACTGCTCCAAGTGGTCAACAATAAATGTTATTACAGATTTAAAGCTCAAACTACAAAATGAATATTATTTGTCAGTCAATTGGATTTGGCTCTATTCAATGATTATAAATCAACCATTGATTGAACTGTCAGAATTATGAACAGGGTTAATTTGGATGTTCTCGTTGACAGCAATGTTGACCTAATACAATACAAGTTTGTTTTTGCAAAGATATGTTGCAAGTGGCTGTGAACTATAAATTCACCACGTCTAAGCAGATGGCAGAAGAAAATTTTATCTTGGAGCTTGACCGGGCAAAGCCTCTCTCTCTCTCTGGACTACTGCCTCAGTGTCACCTTGGGTCCAGGTTTGCAGCCGCCCTTTACCTGTCGCAGTCAAGTTCATAAAGAGTTACAGGACAACTTCTAGAGAGACTATTTTACCTTGGAGATCAGCATGGAAGTGAAGAGCTCTCACTCTGCAGCTACATTTGGGAGCAAAATGTCACCAGTAGTACAAAAAAAAGGCAAATACTCGAATTGAAGAACTCAGTCGACTGAGGGGACGCTGACTGATGATTTGAGTCTTCGGCTTTCATGGGGCAGCCCTAATATGATGTGAATATCTGTGCTTTATAGGGTGCTGCCATGACACAAGAAAAAGACGGTAACTAATCTCTGCATTGGCTCTGCATTCTGCCGTGTGGATCAAATGCAAAGAGCACACAGCAGACCAGACAAGCCAACTGCATTATACAATGATTGACCCCTGAACTCAAGCAGTTCTCCAGTACAGGAAGTTGCCAGGTATAGTTCATTTGTAATGATTTATGCAAAACAACACCACAAGAAAAGCCTCAAGATTATGCAGGCATCCAGAATCAGCCTTGACCTTTTGGATGAAGTACTTATTTTCTTTGTTCAATGAGAAACATCTATTCCACTGTAATTTTGGTAGCAACATCCAAGAAGTGATTAGCTAAGCTTAACTTCAAACATGCACTCATAAAAAACATAAATGTACAGTTACATAAAAGTTTTAAGATGGATGAATGTACTGTCATGTGGTGTCTCCTAACCAATCACAGGGACATACTGGAGTCTCCATGTGTTGCTGCAGGGTGACTGTGACACTCACAATACAACTTCAACCACTGTCATATGTACATTTTTGTTTGTCTTTGCATTGAATAAAGAAGACAGTGTGTTTTTGGGGTGATTTTGGACTAAGCCATACCAAGCTAGCATTTACTCCTGGTGCTATTTCTTATGATATGCTAAGCTAACCAACTGCTGACTCCAGTCATGGATATTACAGTACCTAACACATGCGCAGTTAATCAAATGACCACACGAGTTCCCACACAATGAACCCCTTGAAGATCCAGGGCTCATATTGGTAATTCAATTAGCTAATTAGTTAACTGTAGGGTCAATCCTATTCATGATCTATCATCTGTATTACTTGAATATTAAATATTACATCTGTTACTATGGATACCACACCAGGTAAACTCCATCTGACAGATAGAGAACAGAAAAGAATAAACGGTTACACTCGACATCACTGCCTACACATCAGCTGAGACATTTTGATGTTGTCCTGAGAGATGATCTCACTCTCACATCCTAAGTGTCACTTTGACTCAATAACTCCTCACACTTCCAAACACATCCGGTGTTTTTTTGTGTTTCACCCTGTGGCCCCTTTCAGGTGATTCCATTTACATCCCTCCACGCTCTAAATGCTTGCTCCTCTCTCGAAACACAGACAAAAAACAATTCAGTGTAATAAGTTAAAGATTTTGTTACAACATCAGGAGACATATGGACAGAGCACCACCCAGGCATATATGTTGATGAATTGGCTGGTAGCCTCCTCACCTGATAGAAAGAAAATGACTCAGTGGGGGGAAAAACAAACAGGGGAATGAATCCCTGGAAACTAATGGCACCCATTACCTCAAAAACAATCCTGTAGAGTCACACTGTGATAAACTGTGAATTTACACTGAAATAAATCATACCCGTCAGGAAAACTTGCTAACTCATCCTCAGGACTTTATCCTTGATTATGTTTATTACCCTGCATTCGCCAATGCAAATGAGTGAGTGTAGCATTAAGTGACAGAAGACACAAGTAAAAAGTAGCTGGACCAGTTTGCCCAAGATGCAG